AGAGTCCCAGGTTCAGTTCCTGCTAAGGGCATGTACCTCGGTTGCAGTTTGTCCCCGGCCCCAGTTGGGGTCGTGTGGGTGGCAGCCACTCTATGTGTCTCTCTCACATCAATGTTTCTTTCTCTCACTCCCTCCTTCTCTCCCTCCCGCTCTATCTGAAGATGAATGCAAAAATGTCCTCAGGTGAGGGTAAAAAAAAAAAGAAGGGCCCTCAGTGCAGATAAATCAACATATTCCAAGGTGCCTTCTTAGTAAAGAGGTCTACAGTTAGTTAATTCTGATTATAGCACATACAAGCCTCTTTTGAAGTACCTTCGGTTTTATTTTCTACATAATAAGAACAGAACATGCCCTTATAGCTGCACAAAACAGATAACTGAGAGAGAAATAAGAAGACCACTGGGCTTAATGTACACAGTCAACATAAAATCCATGTGCATGTACTGGAGGAATCACGTCTTCCCATAACAGTCATAGGACATACTGCCCGAGAGTGAAATGTAAACTAAGCCTTACTTAAATCTCCTACCAAGGATTTCTCTGCATTGCTCAAGAGGCATACACAGGCCCCACACACATGATAGGAAAAGGCTTCAGATAACCTTGCTTAAGTGAGGCCAGGGCTAAGTCAAGTCCACTGTTTATCCCTCGGAAAGAAAAAGGGAGAAAGGTGGGTCATTTCCCCGGCACACGTAAAAAATGCAGAGTAGTGAGTCAAAAAGGTTTGAAACACTAAACAAGGTAATTTGCTAGTTTCCTAATAAGACCAATTATGGAAAAGCGAGTGGAAGGAGTCTATAGAACCAATTTTAAAAAGCTTGTTGAACATTAATATTCTATGTGTTACAGCCTTAAACTCTCTTCACAAGTTTTGAAAATAGGCCTTATTATGTCTACTTAAGAAAAAGCTGACTTTTGGGTATCTACCTGAAAAATTTAAAAACATATATTAGTGAAGATATATGCACCCCTGTGGTCATTACAGTATTATACACGGTAGCCAAGACATGGAAAAAACCTAAGTGTCCTTCGACAGATGATGTCATAAAGAAAATGTGGTACATATAGACAATGGAAGACTACTCAGCCACAGAAAGGATAAAATACTACCATTTGTGACAACATAGATGGATCTTGAGAGTATCATGTTAAGTGAAATAAGTCAGACGGAAAAGGCCAAGTTCCTCATGATTTCACTCATATGTGGGATATAAAACAGAAAACAACAAAGGAACAAACAAACTCATAAACACAGACAGCAGTATGGAGATTATTGGAGGGAAGAGGTGGCGGGGGGGATGAAGAGGGTAAGGAGGTCAAATATATGGTGACGGAGGGAGATTAGACTATGGGAGGTAAACATACAATGCAATATACAGATGATGTATTATATAAAGTACACTTAAAACATATAATGTTATTAACCAATGTCACCCAGTAGATTTAATTTTAAAAAAAGAAGCAGCAGCTGAGGTGGTATGGGTACGTTCCCCAGCAACTAAGTGGTGAAGCTGGAGTTCAAACCCCGATCCTGCTCTCACCTCTGCACACATGGCGGCCTAGTGGTCAGGATTGGGGAGGGTGAACACTGTCTTGCAGTGTTAGCCTGTAGGCCAGCGGTTCTCAACCTTTGGGTCATGACCCCTTTGGGGGTCAAACGACCCTTTCACGGGGGTCGAATGACCCTTTCACAGAGGTCACCTAAGACCATAGGAAAACACATATTTCCAATGGTGATTCATAACAGTAGCAATATTACAGTTATGAAGTAGCAACAAAAATAATTTTATGGTTGGGGGTCACCACAAGATGAGGAACTGTATTAAAGAGTGGCGGCTTTAGGAAGGTTGAGAACCACTGCTCTAGGCCCTTCTAGTTCTCGGTCCCAGGACCTTAAAAATGATTGACGATGAACATAAGACAGAAGATACGGTTCCTGAGTAGGAAAATGGGGGCTACAGGTAAAGGTTGTTCATAGCCATCATTCTTTCCCAATGAAATATCAGCCATTGATGAACGAGCATATCTTTTACAGTAAACAGCACCAGGAAATACTGTTACAGTGACTTTCACTTGCTCCTACTGTGATGACTAGGTCACCTCACTGTTGTGCAGGAATGCATGTCTAAGAAACCTCACGTGAGAATTGAACCGAAGCCTGAAATAGACCGAGAGAAGGAAAACTGTCTTGGTTAAACTGCAAGGAAAGTGGGACGCTCTGGCTCTCTCAGGCTACAGTGGGCCTGTCACACAGTGTGTACCGCAGCAGCTTCGGCCTCCGGGAGTCTGAGCAAGGACGTCCTCCTCTCCTCTACAGACTGAGGCCACCTCATCTCTCACCCAAGGTAATGAATTGGAGAATGCTCCATTCACAACTTCCCACTTCCACTAAGGTAACTTTCTGCTATCTCATCTGCCTGGGACGCTGCCAGGAATCATAAAGCAAGTGACAGAAGATGGCAGAAGCCCAAAATAAACACCCTAACCTTATTTAATTCAACCCAGCAAGAATGTATTGAGGGTACACTATTCACCAGGCATGGTGCCTGATGCTGGATATGTTGGTGAGGACATGGCTAAGACTAGTTACAGCAGCAGCTACCACACACTGAATGCTTACAATGTGCCAAATTTTGCTATAAACAATTCAACTCATTGGATCCTCCAAACAACCCTATGAGGTAGCTCCTATCTTTACCTATATATTTGTAACAAGGAAACTGAGGTATGGAGTGGTTAAGTAACTTGCCCAGGGTCACATCTAGTAAGTGATGGATATGAAACCATACTGGCTGGCTTCTGAGTCTGTACTACTCGCCACTACAGTACACTGCACTCTAAATACGAGTAGGGATCAGGGATATAGGGGTTAGTAAGACAATCCCCATCCCAGAGCTTACAGTTTAATTGGGAAGACAGGCAAATAAACCTTGGAGAGGCATATAAACCAACCCAGTGCTCAGGGAAGGCTCCCAGCAGTATATGCCCTGTTCGCTGAATTTAGGAGCCCACCAGAGGGAGATGACGGTCTGGGGTGCATTCCAAGGGGGACAGTAGCTTTCATTAAGCTAACTAGGTAGAGAAAAGCATGCAGAGACTGAGGGCCACAGGCTGATCACCAGAGCTGTGCACAGAATGTGTATAAATAACAACGTGTTATTTGGGGGGCAACAAAGGAGGTTGGATAAGGAGGGCTAAATGATGAGGGTGGAGCCTGGCTGGTGAGGCTCAGTGGCTGAGCGTAAACCATGCACCAAGAGGTTGCTGGTTCGATTCCCAGTCAGGGCACATGCCCAGGTTATGGGCCAAATCCCCAGTGGAGGCATGCAGGAGGTGGCCAATCGATCTTCTCTCTCATCAATATTTCGATCTCTCTCTCCCTCTCCCTTCCTCTCTCTCTAAAATCAATAAAGAAAAAAACTTTCTTTTAAAACATGAGAGTGGAAACATAAGTAGAAGCAAACCCATAAAGGACCTAGCATGCCATGCTAAGGTCTTTGAGAATTTATCTTGAGCTATCAATATGGAAGGGTTTAAACAGGGGAGCCAGCTGCATTTGAGAACAGTTAGTACTGTAGAAATGATGAGAAGGTGAACCTAGAGGCAGGCTAAGCAGACAAGGAGCTGGCAACAGTGCTGTTTGGTGAGAAGACAGGAGCCTCGCCTGAGGTAGTAGCACCAGGGTAGAGGAAACTGGACTCACAGGAAATTCAGGGAAGGAATTAGCAAAAGTACTGGCTGACTATATGGGGGACAGGGAGGAACCCAAGGAGACGCCACCAGGACTACCTTGAGGACGCAGTAGAGGTCTGGCCTGCCCTGAGACAGAGCCCTGCAGGAGGAACAGGCTTCAGATACAGAGAAGGACCCTTTTGCCTGTGAGTCTCAGACACTTGTCTCAGAGGAAACACACCTAAGAATTCTAAATTCTTTTTAAGCCCTGGCTGGTTTGGCTCAGCGGTTAGCACATTGGCCTGCGGTCCAGAGAGACCCGGGTTCGGTTCCCACCAAGGACGCATACTTCGGTAGCAGTTTGTCCCCGGCCCTGGTTGGTTGTGCGGGTGGCAGCCACTCGATGTGTCCCTTTCATGTCGATGTTTCTCTCTCCCTCTCTCTCTGTTCCTCTCTCTCCCTCCCACTCTACCTGAATAAAAAAATGGAAAAATGTCCTTGGGTGAGGATAAAAATATATATATATATATATATATATATGTGTGTGTGTGTATGTATGTATGTGTGTGTGTGTGTGCATATATATATATATATATATATATATATATATATATAATAAACAAGAATGAGGTTTTCATCTGTCTTTCCAGCTTATGAGTGATCAGAAGCTGAAAATTCAAGAGGAAGGGTTTGTGCCCTGGAAACAAGGAAGCTGAAAGGAGCAGATGGGACAATAATTCAGAGACAACTTGGGAATGCAAAGGGTACCGCAAAGAGCCCTTCCCATCTCAGTGGGGTAATCACAGCACATCCCAAGAACAGGGTATAAGGTTAACCTAATCATCAAGAAAAGATTAATTTGTGCTCTCTATAGGCTGTTTTAATAATCAGGGAAATAGGAAATGGATTTTAGAAAGGCACAAATAGAAATAGTTCAAATAAAAAGTTGTACTGCAAAACCTTCTGTTATTTAGAAAATTCACTTATTATGGAAAACCTCATTTACCAACATGATAGATAAAACACGCAATTGGTCCCATTTCTCTTTTCAAGAGAGATGCTTCAGTGAGCAACAGACTCTTCCACCAAGATAACCAACCCTTCCTCCCTCAACGCCAGCATTCGACGGTTCCCCTCTGTCCTCTGGAGAAGACCTAACTGCTCTGTGATTGCTGGAGAGCTTTATGGTTGTTGTTCAAAGTGGCATTAAGCTAGCTCTCATTTTAAGGACATACACTGTTCTCTTGGTGATTACTTCAAAAATTCTGATAGAAAAGAGAAAACCATTGCCATCTACAGAGTTCATCAGTGGTAAGTACATTCCTTACCTGTCCCTTATTAAGACTTCACCGCAGGATTGACAATAAAATGTGCAACAGTCTTGGGCTTGTGAGCTTTGATTAAACATCGAAGTCAGTTCTAAAGGAAATCAATGAAACAGAAATCTTAGAGGTTTGGGACAAATAGGTTAACATATTTATGAGAGTTTAATAGCCACAATAGATTACTGTCAATAAATACTATTTATGATCTACCCAGAAGTATACACATTTAATTATTGTCTGATGACTCAACCAGAAGCAAATACTGTGAAGTGTTTTCAAAAACAACAGATTACATCAAGTGTTCCAGAGCTAGACATTACCCTAGATTATTCACATAACATACTTGTTATTTCTCTCATCCAATAAATAACAACATTAAAGATGGGGGAAGAGGGGCTATTTCTTTCACATCAAGCTAAGCCCCCAGAGCTTCATCCTCAGCCTTCTTCTGCTACATCTGAGGTGTAGTTTTTCATCAGTGTGACTGCTGGTGAATCAAGCTCTTAAATTTAAGTTTAATTTGATTTAAACAAGATTTATGTCCACTCTGGAATATCACCAGTAAGTACAAACAAAATGAATTTTGAAACTGGTCTACTGGACAGGATCTTGAGAATGGAATGGCCCCTAAGAAGAATTCAATCTAGGAGCAAAACTCAATTTCTGATTAAAGTTCTGGAAAGACATATATTTCCCCCATTATGTGAAGTGCAGCATAAGGCAGTATGTTCTCTTGGTTTCCTTTATTTTATTCATGAAGAAAAAAAATTTTTTGTTTCATTCTCTGTCCCCCTTCCCAAACACAGAAATATGTGTCTATTTAAAAAAAAAAAAAAAATCCAAAAAATGAGGTCTTGTCCATTAGAATCAAGCAATTTAAATTTGGTTTATGTTGCTTTGTATGTATTATAAGATTAAGTAGACCTGGGTAAGGCATCCAAAATATTCTTTTCAGAGCCAGTAAACAGATTTTCAGTGAAACACTCCCCTCTGCTGGTCACCCAGCATGATTCTCTGGCTCAGGTTCCAGTCAGAACTTGCTACACAGGGGCTTCCGGGAGAGCACACTGCCACCTGGAGATGAATCTAATGCTTGTGCTATATCAGAGTTCATGTTCCATGTCAAGGGTCATGATCCAAGCTAGGTTATATTCAAAGCAGTATGACAATGTTTACTATAGTCCTTAGAAGAAAGCTCTTACAGTTGAAAAGTCAACTTTTTAAAAACCCTGCATCACAATGAATGCTAAAAACTTCAAAACTCTTTTCCTACAATACATTCTAATTTAAGTTTACATCAGAATGCATCTATCAGATATTCCATCATTCAGTACCTATTATGTGGAAAGCTCCAAAGCAATTAAGTACTGAGGACTCTGTTTTGCATACTTTTTCATGCACTGCAGAGCAGGCCTTTGAAAGCTTTCATTTGCAGATATTTTAGTAAAATATGTTTTAAAAATGTAGAGAAACAGGAGACCAGTGAATGCAAACAATATGCAAAACAACCCACAGCAGTCAATTCATTTTGTCTTCCAGTCAAAACTAAAAAAATGTTTGCTGATTTAAAAATTTTGTAAATAGTTCAAGTTTTGCTATATGTATATGAATTGTTACAAAACATGGGTAGGTGATAAACCAATTGTCTCTGGAAGGTCTCCATGCCTCCTCAGTATGGGACCTCAAGTCATGGGTACCACAAAACTAACAGGAGATCTGAAAACACACCAGCGTGGCTTTCACACCTGCCATTTCCCAAGTTCTAGATAGACAAAAAATTCCTGCCATGGTAACTATTATTGTTTATCACTGCTAAAGAGAAAGTGATGACTTGACAAGGGCCAGACTGCCACGGCTTCTTCCCAGAAACACAACTTCCTCTGCCTACTATTAGGTACTCCCTACTATTAGGGAGTCTGACAGTGTGTTTCCATCTTTGTGACCCATTCTTCTTTCCATGAATACTCCAACAGTCATCCCTAGTGTTTATCTTATACCATTTAAGCTCCATGGCATTTCTTTTCCCTACCTCTTATCTCTAAAAGCAACTCTACCCAAGTCAGACTAGAAATTCATCAAAATTACTTTCCTGAAAAAAAAAAAAAAAGAGCAAAACTCACTCTATCTTCTCTTTCCTTTCAAAAGCAAGCAGAGAGATTCAGGGGAACTGAAATATGCTCCCATTTCTTAAATGGCTCTTCAAAACAATCTGGCTGACCCTACCTCTAGGCTCCATGCAGCTCAGAAGAAAGGCTTAGTAAAAATGAGGCAGCAATGAAGTCTAAGGGTATAGCTGGAAGAATTAAAATCCTTCTCTGATAACGGGCATATTATCAGTCTATTACAGCCTCTTTCCTATCTTTCCATCGTTTTAATCCTCTAAAGTATATTTCTTACATGATAAGAAATGCAATAAACCAATAATTTTATTCCATAAATTATTGAGAAACATGTCTATCTTACTGAATCAATATGCCAGTAACAAAATATTGCAAACATGATAGGCAGAGCAACATTCAAAATTAAATTATGTACCAAACTCAATTTCAGAATCTTTACTTGTACCGTTCTTTCTTTTTGGAAATGTCTCTACATGGATGGGATTATTTCCATCATTCAGTTCTCTGATCAAATATCACCTCCTCTTGACCTGGCCAGTGTTTCTCAGTGGTTAGAGCATTGGCCTGCACACTGAAGGGTCTTGGGTTCGATTCCCAATCAAGGGCATGTACATGGGTTGCAGGTTTGATCCCTGGCCCGTTGGGGCATGTGCGGGAGGCAACCAATCGGTGTGTCTCTCTCACATGCATGTTTCTCTCTCTCTCCCCCATTCCCTCCCTCCCTTCCAATCTTACAAAAAAAAAAAAATCAATGGGAAAAATATTTTCAGGTGAGGATTAAGCAAACAACCAACCAAAAATCGCCTCCTCCAAGTCTCCACCCAACCCAAGTCACTCCCTATCCCATGATTCTGCTTTACTTTGCCCATAGCCCTTTGCTCTGTATCCAAGTAATTATTTTTGTCCTTATCTATTCCCATCCATGAGAATATAAGCTTCATGAAGCCAGAGACCTTCTCGGCCTGTTCACTTCTGTATCCCTAGAACCTAGTGCCTAGCACATCCTATAAGGTAGCGTTCACTGAATTAATGAATGTCTATGAAGTGCTTTAAAATAAATTCGGTCTTGCACAAACTATCTGATTTAATCTTTCTATCAGCTCTGTGAGCCAGGTAATTTTACAATTAAAGAGACAACGCAGGTCCTTCTGCTCAATGTTGCTGTGAACCTAAAACTGCTCTAAAAAATGAAGTCTCTTAGGGGGGGGGAAAGCCCAAAAGAAACAAAACCTCAGAAAGGTTATAAGTGACAAGTTCAACAGCACACAGCTGATAAATGGTAGAAGTGACAAAGAACCTAGATGTTCTCGACCCTCAGCTCTTTCCATGCCACTGATGAGCAGTTATTTTCACCTAGAAAAAGTTCAACTTTATAAAGGAAAAAATCACCTTTGATTTAAAATGAAAAAGTCAACGCAGAAACAGGAGCGCTAGTATTACTCACTTGTGCTGAAATCCGCCCGCGCCTGCAGCCTCAGGTGCAGTCCGTCTCCAGCCACGTACTGCAGCCCCCGGCTAGAGGAAGGCACAAGCCTGACCTCTGCTGGAAGGCAGATCTCTGTGCAGCCTTCAGCGGTTTTCATCTGGAGAGAGGATGGAGTTATAGAAATATCCATGGGCATACTTCCTTCTTTTGGCTCTCTGGTAATTAAAAATAAAACAAAAACTTATTTCTCATTGCTGAAAACCCCATGATGAATGAAACAAAAATAGCCAAGGATCTCTCTGCTCCTCTTCAATAAGGGCCCTAAACTCAACTATCCCAGAAAAATAACAATGAACCAATCATAAAAACTAACATAAAACAACAGTCAATACTAGATTTTCATCTAGGTCAGAGGGTACTTTACACTATTACTGTAACATGAAAGTTCTGGGAGATACCTAATTCTTGTTTCTTTTTTATGGCAATGATGCACTTCAAAAGGTGTACTTTTTTCCAATGATGATGATCCTGAGTCCCAACTCTCTCTTCTGTCCTAAGGTCTTCTCCATGTACTGCAGCCTGGACCTTCCTGGGGTTTCTCCCAGAGTCATTCTGTCTAAGCAGCCTGCCATTCCATTTCCTCATGCCCCCTATTTCCTCCCAGAAGTCTCCCCAACTTCAGCTTCTTTGAACCAGCACAATCTAACAGCCTGTCAAATGTCATGCACTTGTTCTTGGAAATATTTTTGGAAAGAGAATTCAACAAGACAGCACAAGACAGACTTATTCATCTTTGCAACACTTGCCCGTAGCATGGTTTGTATATTCATTCACTTAATCATTCATTCAAACCATGTTTTGTGAGTTCTATAATGTGCTGGGTACTGGGAATATAACAGTTAACAATATATTTTCTCTCCCTAAATAGGGGACAGGTAAGTAAAGAGGAATAATCAAGGGATCGATGAAAACTACATTGTACTTATTCCTGACAAATATAGGGTACTATGGAAGCACATGAAAGGGTGTGGTGACTATCATAGATCAAACACTAAATGTTACTTGAACAATGAATAAATGAGTGAGTGAAATATTCTTGCTTCTGAGACCAGCATTACACTGTTTTACTTACAGTAAATCCAAGTATTGTTATTTGATATACAGGATTTTGATAGACTAGGATTATGTGAAATAAAAGGTACAGGAGAAAAAGACTTTCTTGTCAACAATAATAAAAAAAGAATAATTAAGTAAATTGATTGAGTATGAATACCAGGCATAAAAGGACTTATTAATCCAGTTCCCTACAAACACAAATCACTCAGTGTAGGCAATAAAGAGTAAAACACAGTCGCTGTGCACCAGGCACCGAAAGTACACAGGGAGATAAACACATATAGAAATGATCCTATGAAGCTGAAATATGCTCAGCATTGTAACAGAGGTGCAAAACACCGACTCCCTCTTAAAAGCAGATAAAAGGTACAGGCCATCCACTTCCTGTCACTTCCTATCATGGTGGCTCCACCCTCATGACCTCATTAACTCAAGCATCTATCAAAGGTCTTATTTCCTAATATCATCACATTGGGGGCTGGGGTTTCAACATACAGATTTTGAGGGGACATAAACATTCAGTCCAAGCAGCCCAAGCAGGTAAGAAAAATGTCAACATTGAGTGATATAGATAGATAGATAGATATAGATAGACTATATATCTAGATATATATATATAAATAAAATGAGGATAATGCAAGCCAAAGAACAGAGTTACAAAGAGGAAAAGAGAGAAAACCAGACTGGATCTTGTGGTGGTAGAGTAGAATTAGAAATATTAGTGTGAAGTCATGGTTTTCAATGTATATAAACAGATACAGTAATAAATACAGATGCATATGTATGCATATATATAATATAGACACAAATACATACACACATACATTCATACATGAACATCACATATATGTCACACACATACACACACACTCTAGTTCTATTCATTAGCTGGTTTGGGAGAAGTGTCACCCCAATAGCAATGAGCACACTTTGTACTCAGATCTTGATTTCTAAAGATCATTTTCCACTTTTAAACAAATGAACAAAACAAAGCAGGGTTCCTTGGAAAAATAACTATATGCAGGCTGGAATAGGAAAAACATGAGATGAGCCTGGAACATCTTGCTGTGTAACAAAGTAAAGAAGAAGGGACCACCACTGGCTACATCTGGTGTAATTTAATTTAAAAAGTAACTCACTGAAAAAAAAAACCAGGACTATGGGTCCATACTAATGTAAATAAATGAATGAAAATGAAAGTCTGATGAGGACCAGGGTATTTACACAGTATCAAAGGATCTCTCCAATTAATACTCACTGATTTTGCAGAGAAAAGACTACATTTACAGTGGAGACCTCTGGCAGACACTTTATTTAAGCACTCAAAGTTAATGTGAACTTTAATTGAACAAATAAAAATCATGTGCCATGTGATAGGCTGTAATGAGGACACAGCATCATTTCTGTGATATTCCTTCCAAAGATACTCCTGCCTAAACCTAATTTTAAGGAAATATGAGACAAACCCAAATGAAAGGATATTGTACAAAATAATTGCTCAATAGTATTAATCAGGGAAATACAAATTAAAATGACAATAAGATACCACTTCACACCACTGGAATGACTACCGTCAAAAAGTCTGACAACACTTAATGCAGATGAGAATGTGAAGCAATTGGAACTCATTTTTTTTCTGGTCAGGGTGGAACATGGTACAACCACTTTGGAGAACTGTTTGGCGGTTTCTCATAAAGCCAAGTCCCCCATCTACTCTATGACCTAGCAACTCCACCTTCAGGTAATTACCCACGAGAAATGAAAATGTATGTCCACAAAAAGACTTATACAACAATGTTATGACAGCTTTATTCATAATAAGCAAGCTCTAAAAACACACAAAATATCCAGCAACAGAAGGATGGATATATAAATTGTCATGTGTTCATTCAGTGGGAAAACTCAGAAAAAAAAAAGAATTGCAGGGATGAAACATGAATCTCTGCAACATTATTGAAGTAAAGCAGCCAGAAACAAACAAACAAACAAAGTACATCGTACAAATCCATTTATACATAGTTTAAGAAATGGCAAAACTAATGTTTGTTGAATGAAATCAGAACAGTGGTTGTTTTTAGAGTAGGGGGAATTGACTGGGGTGGTAAAGTTCAACAGTCAAAGACCACCCAGGACAAACAGTTAGGTTTCTTAACTTGCTTAAGCAAGGGAGAACCCTGAAGGAAGTAGACAGGTTGTTTTGTTTTTTGTTTTGTTTTGTTTTGTTGTTTTGTGTAAGGTTTGGGTTCCTAATGACCCTAATAGGTGAATGGAATTGGAGATACTGATCTGAACTCATGACTTGAGAGACAGAAAAGAAGAGAAATAAATATCCTATTTTACAACTGAAAAAAAAAATTAGACTAACTGATTCTACCTTTGTGAAGAAGCTAGGATTTTATTTCAGTTCTCATGCCAAATTCAAAACTGCCACACCAGTTACCCGGCTGATTCAAGGAAAAGAGAGAAATTCAACCTACCTCGGAGTGGCGCTGTGTAATAAAAAATTTTAGGACATTAACATTTAATTTGCTGTACTTGAAACTGGTCACAGGGGAAGGGATCACATACTACAAAACAAAAAAGAGGGGGAAGGGCACTTTTCCTAACAGTTTGTTTATGTAGCGAAAAAAGTTAAACGTTTGCAGACTTCTCACTGGAACTCGGAATACGAATAAAAGAACGAACTCCAGCAAGTCCGCAACCTTTGTTGGTCACTCACTACACACACGTTTTGAATGACTGTGTCCGTTTCTCTGCACAGAACAGTCTGGCGAGGGGGGAAAAAACACGACTTCATTTACAAAACGGGAAGCTTTCGCTTCGGAACTGATCCTATACCGACGACCCTTTCAAGAGGTAGACAAGGTATTTTTTGCACTGTTTTGTTGGAAACGCCAGGCACTGCCATCGGTGTTTTACATCAGAGCTCCTCAAACTCGAATGTGCATCCGAATCCTGAGGAGCGTGTGAAAATGTAAGTTCTGATCGGCAGGTCCGTTGCGGGGCTGAGGCTGCGCTTCTTGGAAGATCCCAGGTGAGGCCGAGATGGTCTAGGGAGGACTGGTGGAGAGGGGGCACTCTACTCCGAGTAATCAAGAGAGCTCTAAGCCCCTGGAAAGAAGAAATTAAAAATTCATCCTTCTCAGGGAGGCGGAGACTTGCCAAGTGGCGGAAAAGCGAGCTAGCACTGTGCCTAGAAGCCCACAGTCCCACCCTCGGCCTTACCCCAGGATCAGCAGCGCGCTCTGCAGCCGTCTCCGCACCTCCAGGAACACGCGCGTCTCCGCCGCCGCCGCCATGGCGGGCGCCCAGCCGGGGTTCCAGCCAACCCGAGCCACCAGGGCCAGGAGCACCTCTGCACACGCGGCCGGGGCAGAAGCAGCACCAGCGGCGGTGGCTGCGGCGCGGGATTCCCGGATCCGATCGCTCGGCTGAAACAGCCAGCCCGCCCGCCCACAGCGCCACCTGCCGGACGGCGAGCGCGCCGCCTCGAGGATTCGATGTGGGGGGCGTGAGCTCTTTCAAAGCAGGTTTGTGGTCTGTGCATTGTGAAGGTGAGCAGGAGAGCCCAACTGTCCTCCCACGCTGCTTCTTATGGGCGTGACCTGATGCGGTCGTTAAAAATCAGACACGACCTACTTTCCTTTCACTAGAGTGGATAGGGATGGGGCTGGACGGGAGGAGGAGGATGGAGGGAGGCAATGTAGGCAGGCACTGTCCCCTGGAGGCCCAAGAGTCTAATTCTCCACCCAAAATCCACTTTATTTTGTTTCTTTTTGGCTTGTTTTTATTAACTATGGTCTCATTTTTATGAACTATGGCCGTCGGCCCTTCGGTAACTCTCCTCTGATTGATGCCACGAATGAATGTCCAGGGTTGACTTGGCATTGCTTCTCAAGCTAGACACAATAGCTCCAAGATGGAAACAGTTGCAACAGTTTTCTGTTCTCTATAAGGAATAGAGTGTGGTTAAAAACCAGTAACGTGAATCACAGGATTAACCATTCCTATAACCTTTGAAAAAAGGAAGATGCAAGTGAGTCCATGTGTACATTTTCACTATTCATTTTTGCAGAAGTAGAAACGGACTCACAGAATTCCTAATCTCATTACTACCAGAAGATAATTTTGGAAAGTTTGACACAGTAAAGAAAATGATCTAGTATACTGTAAATACTTACAATAGCAAATATTAAAATATAAGGCCAAGGAAGCATTATAAGAAGAGTTATTTACAAATAAGAGGCTGTTAGTTTTTAAAAACAGAAACAGTGAATACTTGTATACAGAAAATTGTGTTTATTGATTTCAAGGTAATAATTACCACACACCAAACATTCATCTGGAGATTGTCTGAATAAATAAAACCCCTATCCACCTGGCCAGTGTGGCTCAGTGGTTGAGTGTTGACTTGAGCACAGAGGTCACCGGTTCTATTCTAGTCAGGGCACATGCCCAGGTTGTAGGCCAGATCCCCAGTAGAGGGCGTGTGATGTTCTCTCTCATGGATGTTTCTCTTTCTCCCTCTCCCTGCCTCTCTCTCTGACATCAATAAAGAAAATATAAAATAAAATAAAAATAAATAAATAAAACCCCTATTTCGTGTAAGACAACTTTTCTAAATATTTGAAGTTTTAAAAGTTTATCGTGTTGCTTCACAAATTCTTGTATCCATCATAATGATTCAACGATGCAGTTGAAAGAATTAAGTTTACTGATATTCCATCTCAAATAATGGTCATGAAGGGTGATAATTTCACCTCATATCTTCCACCTTTAATTCTCAAGGCTATTAAGTGCTTAAATAATGACATATATTGACATGCATAACAATCTTAGTACATCATGCTCTTCATAATTGGTGTTTGATTGTTTTTAAAGGTTTTTATATCGTCACACATTTGACAAAAAAAAAAATATATATATATATATATATATATATATATATTCTGACCCTATAGTTTAGGCAAAACAGTGCAATCTTCCTTGTAGTAATTATGTGATTTAGAGAGTTCTAGATTAAACAGTCGGAAGCTCTTTGTCTCCTAAATCTTCTAACCTTTCTGGATTTCAAGGTCATCATAAGAAATACAAAGGAATTATTTAAATTATACTTAACTAATTGTTTAAATAATTACTTAAATAATATTTAGAGAGTTTTAAAAATTTAAGTAATTATTTAAACAATTATTTAAAAGCTGTTCTCAATTCCAAGCATCCCTTCAAACTCTCAGGAGTTGAAAACACCTGCTGTAAACCCCTTTCCAGGCCCACTTCCTGTTGGTGGCCATGGGCAGTTTCCCTGATACTCCGCTTGGGGGCGCTGTGGCTACAGCTAGCGCCAGAGACGAAGCTCGGACCAGGGGGTGGATATAGAGCTCGGCGACGTCGACGCCGGCGTGGGCGTGGGCGCCGGCGCGGTGCACGCTGGGAGCTGTCACTAGGCCCTTCGGCTTTCGGCCTCCGTGTAGCTGCCGCGGTTGCCAGGAGAGCGGCGCTGGCGGGAGCGGCTGAACCCACGGCAGGTAACGGTGTCCCCGCCCCCATAGAGGTCGCGAGGCCGGCTGCTGGCCCTGAGCAGCTTCCTCGGCCTGGCTCGTTCCGGAGCCGCGGAGACATCCCTGGTCAGGTTGCCGTGGCGTCGGGGGTGTTGCCGCCCTGGCCCCGCTTGAAGCCGCGAAGCCGGCCGACAGTCCCCTGGTTTCCGGGGAAGCGGGAGCTGCGCGGGGACCGGCGGGCTGGCGCCGGGCGGAGGCGCGAGGGCGGCCCTGGGCACGGGCGGCCGCAGGCGCCGGGTGGCTGCCCCCGAGCCTCCAGCGCTGGGGCCGAGCGATGCGCAAGGTTGGAGTGGAGGTCGCACCTGTGCGATGAAGGCGCTTGGGTAACCTCTTTGTTGGCGGAATCAAGGCGTCGTGCAGTCTCGGTGATTTGTATTTTTTTAATCTTGTGACACCAATGAATACCAGCCACGGTTAATAGTCCACATGGGGGGTGGGAAAGGAGTGCAGAAGTTTATATTAGTGGAAGTCAGATTAGTCATAAGGAAGTTGTTAGTTGTTAACAATGATTACTTTGATTCTCAAGGCTTTTTTTCAAGTTGGAACTTGACTAGAGTCACTACTTTAGCTTCCCCCATTCTTCTCCCTGCCCTGAGGGGAAGGGGAGTGGCACACAACTGGACATTTTTAAGTTAAGTAGCTCGTGTTTTAAATATTCTTACACTATCTTAGAGTTCTGTGGAGTTTGAGAAATGTAAAGACAGATTGGATAAATTTGATTTGGAGACTGTAGTTAAAGCAATCAAAACTTTTTTTTATAATTGCAAATAAAAGTTAGGAAGCTGCCTGACACGTAGGCCCTAAACTATAGGGGGAAAAAAATCTCTCCTTTTCGTTATTGTTGGCTATCTTCTATGCAAACATAAGATCTTAATTTTGCTATGAATAACATGTCAACATTAGGTGCTAAATAACTCACCACCTGATAAACAACAGTGATTTAGTTGACCTGACAGACATATAACAAGAGTAAATTAACACTAGTTGTAGTACAAATGCTATATTTTTAGTGATTACTTTCAGCTGCCACGCTGAATGGCCTCATTCCCCAGAATTGAGAAACACTAGCAAATCTCCAGGTGAACCTAATTATTAAGAACTAAGTCTTGAAGGAGAATTAGAAACACCTAACTAAATACACAAACCAGAAAATGTGACACCATACCAAAATGTTAAGTGTTAATTAGATGTTTATATATTTGTGTGTGTGTGTGTGTGTATGACAAAGGAGCCCTATTCATTTAACTTCTTTGTTCTGCTACCCTGGTATGATCTCTCTAGACTTCACTTTTGTCATCTGTTTAAGGGAATTTCATAAGATTAGAGTTTTTCAAATTGATGTTTCCCCCTGAACACTGTTATGAATTCAATAATAGACTTACTGCCCCAAAACAGTGTTCCATGGCAAAAAAATTGGGGAGCACATTGGGTTTAATCGGGAGTTTAACTTTTGATTTGCTTTTAACTGCAGGACTTCTCAAAACCTTTACTACTCTGCTTATATGCATGTAAATCTTCAAGAGAATGTTATTGAAGCATTTCCTAAAGTTCCCAGGGTAGAGAGCCAACCTGTTAACATCTCCTAGAATATAATTACAGCAAATCCTTGAATAACATTTCCTTCAGTGTCATTTCCTTATACTGTTGATATAGGAACTTGTTTATGTCAATCAGCTTATGGTTACGATTGGTTTCGTAATATGTCGTTTCACCTCAGTTTTAAGAACTAACTTACTGTACATAGAATACCAATTTAAAAAATTACAGCATTTGACCTGAGTCCCCTTTCAACTTTGAAATTCCCCACATAGCTTTCAGGTTAAGCTTTCTGCATGAAAATCTAGTGGCAACTCACTGGTATAACAAAGACTTATATTTTCCCTAGTAAAATATTAACATTAAGAATGCACATAGGTTTCTGTGGGCCTAATGCTTTAATTTATAGCAGAAGGGTATCCTCTTCTTTTCTGGTCTGTTGATGCTTTTCTATACCATAATTATTTTATGTTTTGAACTTGATTTTATGGTCTGGTTATGATTTTTTAAAAGAATAGCCTAATAAAGTTCCAACAAGTAAAGACTTGTTAGTAATGGCATTATTTTTACTATGAATGATTTCCCTCTCTGGTCATGAATTCTTCAACTATGAAATGTGAAAAAAGCCACTTGAAATGCACTTAATAATTAATAACTAAATTTTAAGTGGTCAGGTCATTGAAAAGAATCAAAGGCTCAGACATAAATTCTAAAACAGTTTCTAAATTGCTTACTGTCAGGATCTAAGTGCTGAATACAATCTTAAATAATCTTGCTAAATTCTGTCAGTTGTCACTAGCACACACCTGGTGTGGCTACTTTCTATTCTTTGTTAACTTTGTTAGGGATGGGTGCTATTAATGTATTCCTTTGGTGGGGGTGGGGGGTATACATTTAATTTTAATAGGTAAGCCTTAATTTAGGTAACTTTTCTCCCTGAAATGAATTTATTATGTAGAAGTATAGAGCTGCTATTTTTATGCTATAGCTAACAGATTTAATTGAAAATTTACTATATGAAAATAAGTGCTTTTGATCCCCTTGTCTTAAAATGTGATTTCCCTTTTCTCTTTATTGTATTCACTTCCCCCTCCCCAAGGAAATCAAGCCTGAAACCTCAGTGACTTTTCACTGCACAGGTCAAATACATGGTATCAAATTTATTAAGGGAAAATTTACATAAAATAACGTGCACTCATTTTATACGCATAT